AAATCCTGATGGGAGTACTCTGTGAGACTGGACCATCTCAGTCAGCAGTCTTGAAGCTGTTCTGGATGTAGAACTCAGGATACTGCAAGAGAGGTGCTCTAAAACATTGAATCATCTGGATCATCCGCTTCTATCAGAGATTTTTTTCAGGAGTCCTTCCTTGATTAAACCTTATTTTTCTTAATCCAGAATGAATCCATTGCCTGCCTGCCTGCCTGCCTTTTTTAATTTTTATTTATTTATTTATTTGTTTGTTTATTTATTTTTAGACAGAGTCTCATATCCCAGGTCAGTCAAAGAGGACACTGAATTTCTCATCTTCCTGACTCTAACTCCCAAGTGCTAGAATTACAGGCATGTGCCACCATGCCTGGTTTGTGTGATGCTTGGGATGAAATTCTGAATTTCACGATTGCTAAGCCAACACTCTGCCAGCTGAACTTCTCCAGCCCAGTCCCCTGTGTGGTACTTCCTACTGCCTCTCCAGCCACAGAGCACCGACTGTAGTGTCCCTGGTAGCCCAGGAAGCACAGTGGAATAGGATCCTTCTTTCCCTTGCCTTGGGTGAGCCCCCTGCCCTAGGCCTCCTACTGTTACAGGGAACCTGGGTGCTGCAAGGGACCCAAGGCTCAGGGAGATGACTTATCCTGTGGCACGTGTCCTATACATAGTCCTGCTGGGAAGGGACGCTGGAGTGGACTGGGAACTCTGCAACACTTTAGTCCCTGTAGACAGACACTAGAGTAGGAAGGGAAGCTGGCTTCACTTCACCAGAAGCAAGTGTGATCACAGGATGGGGATTGTGTGCTCTGACTGTTTGCTCTTGAAGCTGGGGGACAGTAATAAAAAAGAAGGCCAGTCCTGACCAAAGGCTGCTTCCTGGCCATGCACAGCGGTACTGCTGCACTTGGAGATGAGAGCCAAAGGGCCACTGTGTCCTCCATGCCCTTAGAGATTATCCCACTTGGATGAAAAGAAGGAATAAAGAAGGGCAGACAAGCCTGCTCCTAGGTATGGTGGAGGAGGTTTACTGTAGATACAAGGGAGAGCTGAGCATAGTCTAGAGTGGACGTGGCCAGACGGAGCTGGGCCATGTGAGGAGAGAGCTGGAAGGGGAGAGGAACCGCTGACCAATAGGGGCAGCCTGGGCTGAGAAACTGGCCAAGAGAGAAAAGAATAGATCAAAAGGGCAGATAACCAAAATGGCTGGATTATATGGGGCAGCCTAACCCCTGGGCTGGGGAAGTTTAGGGTGGGAGGGGGTATGCCAGCCAGATAGAAACTGAGAGATGCTGGGAGAACCTGGCAGCCAGGTCCACTTTGATAATGCTAAATAGATACCTCAGACTTAGGGACCTACCACCAATGTCCCTTCTTTCCCAGGCCCTTCACAGATACCTGACAAAAAAAACACCTGTCACTCAGGCAGGACCCTAGACGCACACTGTGCTCTCTAAGGCCAAATGGGTTTTATTTTAAGTTTGATCTACAGAGCAAGTTCAAAGTTAGGACAGCAAAGCTCCACAGAGAGACCCTGTCTTTTAAAACAAAACAAAACAAAACAAAAAGCATGAAATGAAGGCTCAGCAAGGCTGAGTCTCCAGCTAACCTGGGATCTTGCCACTCCAGGGCCACATGCCATAGGTCAGGGGTTCTCCCCATCCCAGCCTGACTCGTCTGGTGACCTGGAAACCCCAGTAGACTTATCCATAGACACTGATAGGGCCACCCCTTTGCCCCTCCCCCATCCCACCTTGCAGCGACCTCCTGGGACTCCTACTACACAGTCCCAGCTTGGCTCCTCAGGCTCCATGCCCTCATTCTTCTAAGTGTGTCACCAAGAGACCCTACTTGGTTGTTGAACGGAGTCTCTTGTGATTCCTTGAATCTTATGAGGACCCCAAGATAGGGTGCGAGTTCTATCTGCAGAGGCCTGGGGAGGGGAGCTGGTACCTCATATAGCAAGCCTGGGTGGGGACCTTGCCTGAGTCACCATCAGAACGCCTGACCCTCCATTGGCTCAGCCCTGGTTTTCTGTGAACCTTTCTATTGGCAATCTTCCCAGAGGTAGGATCTATGGAGTTCAGTGTGGGCTGCTTCTGATTGTCCCCATGACACTGTCCTGGCTCATGGTCAGCCAGGGAGACAGATGGAGAGGTACAGCCATTAAGGGTGCACCACTCAGGTTGGAAAATAGTGCATGGAACTGGTGCCAGGCTCTGCTTCTGCCAGGCTGTATTTCTGCTCAGTCTCATTGGCTGCAGTGAATCGTGGAAGGTCCTGATAATAGGGAGCCATGGAAGGGCTTGGAGCAGCAGCGTGACCAGTTAACACACTACCTGGAAATAGCTTCCTGCCCTAGGGAAGGAAGCCTGGGGATGGGGGAGGTAACGAGACATGCCAGGCTCCTCTGACAAGGGCCAGGGCTTGGGGTGCAGCCACAAGTCCCACTCAGGGGGGCTGGGAGCGTGCTGAGTCTGAGGTCACGTGGGTATTGAGCTGTGGCCAACTTGGCCCGGGATATAACTTCTATTCCTGGGTCTTCAGCTCAGACACCAAATATGGTATGGCCTGTGTCTAGCACCTCCAGTTGTGGTCAAGCACACTCTTCCCCCACCTCAAGCCTGGGCTCTACCCTATATCATGGCACAGTTAGGGCCTCCTAGGGCTTGGGGTCCCAAATACTCAGAGGTGCACTCTGCTGATGCCTGCTGATCCACATTCAGCTGAATTCTGTCTGTCTCCCACTGAGCTAAAAATGCTTATGCCAAAGGGGGCGGTGGCGCACACTTTTAATCTGGGCACTCGGGAGGCAGAGACAGGCTGATCTCTTAGTTCAAGGCCAGTCTGGTCTACAGAGCGAGTTTCAGGACAGCCACAGCTGCACAGAGAAACCCTGTCTGGAAAAAAAAATTTTAAAAAAAGTACTTGTAACCAAAACAGCCTCACTTGCCAAAGGAGGACAAAGCTGCTGCTATTCTGGGGTCTGTAGCAACTCCCTCATAAGCATGACCCTGGCTGGGGTCCCAAGCCACTCACTGGTCTCGGCTCCAGCTAGGCTCACTCACTGGTGCCCTTGGGTATCCAGCAGCTGCTCCTCTGATCAATTGTTCATCTGTCGGCTCACTGATTCCCTCCCCTGCTCATTTGTTGACTGCACCTATCAAGAGCTGGACAGGGTTTCAGATGCTGAACAAATACAAACTCAAAGTATACTTTTCCAGCTGGGCGGTTGGTGGCACATGCTTTTATTCCCTGCGCTCTGGAGGCAGAAGCAGGTGGCTCTCTGAGTTTGAGGTCAGCCTGGTCTACAGAGTAGTGAGTTCCAGGACAATTGGGGCTATACAGAGAAACCCTGTCTCCAAAAAACAAGTGTGTGTGTGTGTGTGTGTGTGTGTGTGTGTGTGTGTGTGTGTGTACTTTTCCTTGAATGTTGTATCACATGCTTCTAATCACAGTAGGAGGAGAGGAGGTGGAGGTTGGGAGCAGGATCATGAGTTCAAGGCTAGCCTGAGCTGCTTAAGACCCTGGCTCAGAAACAAAAACATAAGGCTATGCTGTAACTCAGTTGGTAGTGTTTGCTTTGCTTGCATAAAGGCCTGGCCTCCATCCCCAGCAAGGCATAAACCTTGTCTGGTGCTCACCTATAATTCCAGCCGTGTGAGGAAGAAGGCAGGAGGACCCAAAGTTCAGGGTCATCTTTGGGCTATCTCATAAGTTGGAGGCTAGCCTGTTCTACGGGAGTCACTCAGTAAAACACGATATCTGTCTTTGTTTGGCTATTTACAAATAAGTTATCTAAACAAATGAGCACAGTGTGTTACAATAAGAGCTAGGCAGGGTAAAGGGGAACAGAAGGCAGGGAACGCTGGAGTCTTCGGGGTTTGAGTTATGAGTGGAGAAAGAGCCATCCCACACAGAGAGCAGAGACCGTGGCAGGTGTCCCGGTCCTGAGGCAACATCTTGAGTTCTGAGAGGCAGCAGCGGCAGATGTGGTTTAGACTAGGAACCGGAGGAAGTGGTGTCAAATCAGGGGTGTAAGGCATAGACAAGGCCTTAGAGACCTGAGTCTCTCATATTACTTAGGGTCTGTGCAAGCCTCTGATGTGATGTGGCTTGGGTCTTTGCTCCTATTGCTGCTGTTATGGATAGAATCTCATGTAGCTCAAGATGGCTTTGAACTCACTATATAGCCAAGGATACCCTTGAGCCTCTTGTCTCATCTCCCTGGTGATGAAACGGTTTTTTGTTTGTTTATTTGTTTTTGTTTTGTTCGATTTGGTTTGGTTTTTCGAGACAGAGTTTCTCTGTGTAACCATGGCTGTCCTGGAACTCATCACTGTGTAGACCAGGTTGGCCTCGAACTCAGAGATGGGCCTGCCTCTGCCTCGTGAGTGCTGGGGTTAAAGATATACGCCATCACTGCCACCTGACTGTTTGTATTTAAATAGCATCTGACTGTGTTGCCTAATCTGGTCCTAACCTAGTGAATGAACTCAAGGGCCCCCCAGTTCTGCAACCCAGTCACCGTATCCAGCTATGACTTTATTTTATCTTGTTATTGCTCTTGGCTTTTGAGACAAGGTCTCACTATGTAGCCCAAGCTGGCCTGGAACTTGTGACTCTCCGGCCTCTGCCTCTCCAGTGCTGGAGGTCAGCCTTTGACTGTCACTTGCTGAGAAGGAGCTGGCCGGTTTCCTTCTTGCTTTCCACAGTCCCTTAGAGCCTGTAGTGCTGATGAGATGCAGACTTCTCACGGGCCAACACCTCCTCCATTTAACTGACCCTTCCTTCCTTTCTGTGGTGCCCAGGCCAAGTGCAACTCCACCCAGGCAGTTCTAGTCGATTGTATTGTCCCTCTGTCTCCAGATGGTGCTTCCACAGGGCTGAACACAGGCTAATGTACTCAGTTTAGCACAGGACTGCACTCTAAAAGCCAGCGTGATGAGCTGCTGGTGGCCTACAGCCTGCTCACGCTTTCTGCCTTCCGTCTTTTGCAGGTGGGCTGGCAGGCCTGCACATCAGAGGACAGACCATGTTCCTGTTGGCATAGAAGATGGGCTCCTAACCCAGTGCACGTACCCAGGATGCCTGCAGGCGGCTAGGACTCCACCTCCTCGTCATGGACTGCCCAGGCTGGTCAGTAGCCCTTTACCCTGGAAAGAGTCCATTCGGGTGGCTCAGACCCCAGCTCTTCCCTGTGGGATGACCATTCCAAGAGTCCTGGAAGGGACTCAACTCTCAGGTTCCCGTAATTCCTGCCTGACTGTGTCCACTCAAGTGTCCTGGTTCCTAATGTCAGAATGATGGAACTGTCCCCTGGAGTGGCCAAGAGTCTGAGGGGGTGTGAACACAACCTGGAAGATACAACTATGGTGTGACCCAGGGCCAGGGCTGCTGTTAATCTTCTGAGTATAGGACTGAGTTCCTCCAGTGAACCAGGCACCCTTTCGGCCACTCCTTTCCCAGACCAGCTGACTCCCCAGGATGAGGTAATGTGGTAAAAGTATAGGACAGGTTCCAGGACAGCCAGCAATATACAAAGAAACCCTCTCTCAAGCCGTTCCCCTTAAAAAGGTCTGAGGGGCACAGAAAGATGGCTCAGCAGTTAAGAGCTCTTGCTGCCCTTATAGAAGACTTGAGTTTGGTCTCTAAGACCCATGTTGAATGGCTCACAGCTGCCCGTAACTCTAACTCCAGGTGACCCCACACCCTCTTTTGCTCTCCGCAGACATCTGCACTTGTATACAATGTGCCCCCCACACACAGAAATTAAAAATGAAATAACTTGAGGCTAGAGAGCTGGCTCAGTGGTTAGGAGCACCGGGCTCTCTCAGAAGACCCAAGGTTGATGCCTGCCCAGCACCCACATGAAACCAGGTTACAACCTCCTGTTTCCAGTCCCAGGGGATCCAGTGCTCTCTTCTGGTATCTGAGGGCACTTTGTGCGTGCGATACACAGACACATGCACAGGAAGAACACCCATGCACATGAAATAAATAATACACAATAAATAAATTCTTAGATCAAAGACCGCTTGCCCCAAGTGTCACTCTGTCTCTACCTCCCCGGCCTTGGGGCTACACACATGCACTGCTGTTCTGTCTTCTGTGGGTTCCCAGGATCCAAACTCAGGTTCTCGTGCTTGCTTGTGCATTTTGCCCACTGAGATATTTCTGCAGTCCTCAGCCCATGTCTTCATGCCAAATGTGTTTGAGACATTGAGCAGCCTGTCTTTTTAAAAAAATATTTATTTATTTATTATGTATAAAATATTCTGTCTGTGTATACGCCTGCAGGCCAGAAGAGGGCATCAGACCCCATTACAGATGGTTGTGAGCCACCATGTGGTCGCTGGAAATTGAACTCAGGACCTTTGGACGAACAGGCAGTGCTCTTGACCTCTGAGCTATCTCTCCAGCCCCTTGAGCAGCCTTTCTTTGAGTGAGCCAAAGCATGTTCATGGAGCTGAGGGGGGTCAGAGGACAGGCTACCACCCCAGTAGACCAACAGAGACAGATTTTGTCAGGGTTAGGGTTCTGTGAGGCAAAGTTTTTCCTTCTGGCTGTCCTTGTATCTGCTAGACTCTGGCTGCTCACTGTGAGAAACACTGGTTCTGGTCTCCAGCCAGTCACAAGTTTACTACACAAGGGAAAAAGGACCTTGTCCAGGTTTTGGTCCAGTCTTCTTTTACAGGGGAGCAGCCAGCTGGCCAGGGTACAGCTCGTGCCTCTTGGGTCCCAGAGACCCCAAGCCTTAAAAGCTGGCAGTATCCGTGTTTTTTGAGGGTCAGGGAACCCTGCAGTCAGCAGGCCTGAATGCTGGTGTTCGTTTCTTACAGACCATCACTCCTTGTGGGCATCTCCCGCTGTGATCTGGGGAGACCATGTTCAAGCCTCCCGACTGCCTGCTGCGGATGCTCCGGGGCACCCCCAGACAACGGGTCTTCACTCTCTTCCTTATCAGCTTCAAGTTCACATTCCTCGTCTCCGTCATGATCTACTGGCACACTGTGGGTGCACCCAAGGACCAAGGACGACAAAATAGCCTGCCAGTGGACTTCCCCTGCCCCCAGCTGGCCTTTCGTGGCATCCTTGCCCCAGGCAACATCTTCTTCCTAGAGACCTCGGACAGGACCAAACCTAGCTTTCTGTTTATGTGTTCTGTGGAGTCGGCCGCCAGGGCACACCCAGAGTCCCAGATAGTGGTGCTTATGAAAGGGCTGCATGGGTACGAGTCAGGCCTGCCTCGGAACCTTGGCATCTCTCTCCTGAGGTGCTTCCGCAATGTCCAGATACAACCTCTGGACCTGAAGGAGCTGTTTCAGGGCACACCATTGGCAGCCTGGTACTTGGAGGCGCAGAACAGCTGGGAGCCCTACCTGCTGCCGGTACTGTCTGACGCCTCTAGGATTGCGCTCCTCTGGAAGTTCGGTGGCATCTACCTGGACACAGATTTCATCGTCCTCAAGAACTTGAGGAACCTGACCAACACGCTGGGCTTCCAATCCCAATACGTCCTCAACGGAGCCTTCCTAGCCTTTGAGCGCCACCATGACTTCTTGGCACTGTGCATACGTGACTTTGTGGACCACTACAATGGTTGGATTTGGGGTCACCAGGGCCCCCAACTGCTCACCCGAGTCTTCAAGAAATGGTGCTCCATCCGCAGCCTGAAGGAAAGCCACGCTTGCCGAGGAGTCACTGCCCTGCCCGCTGAGGCCTTCTACCCCATCCCCTGGCAGAACTGGAAGAAATACTTTGAAGACATCAGCCCTGAGGAGCTGGCCCGGCTGCTCAATGCCACCTATGCTGTTCACGTGTGGAACAAGAAAAGTCAGGGTACACACCTCGAGGCCACGTCCAGGGCTCTGCTGGCCCAGCTCCATGCCCGCTACTGCCCCACAACACACGAAGCCATGAAGATGTACTTGTGAGGGTCCCCCAGACTGCCTTCGTTTTACCTCAGCACGGTTACTGCCTTTCCTAGGGGAAGCAAGACGAGCGGGAAGCAAACAGGGTTCTGCCCTGCTGCTGCTGACTTTGGAGGAGACCAAGGCTGACCCGGGGAGCATGTGCCACCTCTGCGCTCCTGCCCCTCCAGGCCAGAGTGATCTGGGCTGGCAAGTGGTTCTAGAATTAGCAGCATCTGGGGCTTTAATGAGCTAGATCAGCAAGCCTGGAATACTGGAGAGCATTCTAAGGTCGCCGGAAGAGAGGTGGGGCCAGGAGCAATGGGGCCAGGAGCAGAGCTCAGAGCAGCCTGGGTGGAAGAGCTGCGGAAGGTGGGGCTCTCCCAGCTGAGTGAGCCCAACGGGAGGGGCAGAGCTCCCTTGGGGCACAGCTCTGCAGATCTGCCGCAGCCCATCCCAGTGATCAGAGGATGTGGAAATTACTTTGGTGTGGGAAAAGTGGGTTGGTTTTTTTTTTAGGAGGGGTTGTTTTGGTTTGTTTTTTGGTTTTTCAAGTCAGGGTTTCTCTTGGCTATCCTGGAATTCACTCTGTAGACCAGGCTGGCCTCGAACTCACAGGGATCTGCCTGCTTCTGCCTCCCGAATGCTCCCGAATGCTGGGATTAAAGGCGTGTGACACCACCACCTGTCTGGGAAAAGTGTTTTAAATGCCCTCCCTGTTGTCGACACTGGAGGCTTTAATAAAAGTGACTTACCAACATCTAATGCCTCGTGGTCACATAGCACATTTGTGAACACGGACTTCGGCACACCCACCCTGTTCTACAGATGGGAGAGGAGCTGGAGGGTGGCCTTTTCATGGGTCACAAAACTTGGAGAGGCCGGGCTCAGAACTGGGTGGCTGATAAGGCATGAGAGGAGCCTGTGGTCCCACCCCACTTCTCAAGGCTCACAAATGGCCGAAGTGGAGTCCCAGCCTATTCACACCCTTTTATAAGCCTAGGCCTGTTTTAGCCTACATGGGACTCAATACAAACACCAAAGTGTGAGGCGAGGGGCTAACCACAGCAAACGGTGGGGACTCTGGCTTCTGAGAACTCCTGGAAGTGCCCTGCTATGTAGTCCCAGGGCTGAGCCACAGGGACATCTATGCAGGCACAGATGTTCTGTGACTCATCCGGCTGGGCATTCCTGCTGGTGATGGGAGGTCAAGAGGCTGCCAGGAGCCCTGGAGTGCTCTCTAGCAGGCCAAGCAGGGAGCCGTACCAGCCAGTAGGCTCTGCCCGCACACATCTCGGACAGCCCAGTAAGGGGCTGAGCTGCCTGGCTCCAAAGGTATTCAAGAGCAGATGAGGTTTTGGATGAAGACTAAGAATTGTAAGCCAGTTGTTTCTCCAGTCAATCACAGAATCATTTGAAGAAGTCTTAACTGTGGGGGCTGGAGAGATGGCTCATCTGTTAAGAGCACTTGCTACTCTTCCCAGAGGACCCCAATGTGGTTGCAAGCACCCTGTGGGGCAGTGCTCAGATCCGTGTGACTCTAGCTCCAGGGGATCTCCACTAGCTCCCGTACTCACAGGGGCACACACACACTTGCACATCCGAAAACAATAACAACAAAAATCTCTACTGTCACAGCTGACTGGTGTGAAATTCACAGCAATTCTCCTGCTTCAGTTTCCCAAGTAGGACTATAGGCAGGAGCCACCAATCTTTCTCATTTCTTTCTGTCTTAGAATTACAGGCTTTAACAACACAAACACTATATGGAGCTGTACATATTGGAACAAGTGAAATGTCTCTTAGGGTAGGGGGGTGTTTAGCCTCATGATCATCATACGGTGAGACCCTAACATGCTAGCACACAGACACGAAATACATCTCTCCCTCTCCATAAGCTCATCCATGGCACCCTCTGCCCAGGCCTGATTCCAGATACCCTGCAAGCATTTCCCCTACCCTGGGCCAACCCCACAGTGCGCAGACACCCTGGCAACCTCAGGCTGCCTCTTTATAGAGAAGTCAGAACATTGGCTGTGCAGCTGGAGTCTGAAAAAGGAAAAGGGAGGGGTGCCTTGGGTGGAACATGTCTCGGGGACATGAAATCAGATCCTCAGGCCACTATGGTTTCTCACTGCATAGTCTGTTTACAGATGTTTTTGTCCAGGGCCGAGGAAGACAGAACCCACAGAGGCCTGAGGCAAGCTCTCTGTCAATTACCTAATGAATTTTCCAAGCTGGCCAGCCCGGCGCTGGCCAGCAGGGACGTCTTTCCCAGCAGCTCAGAGCTAGGAGACTCATTTCCCCTGACTGCTGTATCAACATTCACCCTTTTGTTTAAATATTAAATGGGACTGCCCTCCATTTGAGTGCCTGAGCAAAGGCCAAGGATGGATGAGCACTGTGGGCTCCATTCCTGGAAGTCTGCTTGCTGTGTTTCCTGCGGACCTCTGCTTAGGGCCAGCTGGGCGCTAGGCATGCTGGGAATGCTGCTGTGAGTCTGGAGGACTGGGCTGGGCAAAGAGTCAAACATGACCTCTGCTGGGGCAGGGCAGCGGGTGGGGGTGGGGGAGCAAGCATGTCCTCGTTAGGGTTTCTATCACTGTGACAAACACCACGACCAAAAGCAGCTTGGGAAGGAAAGGGTTTATTTCATCTTTCAGCTTGTAGTCCAGTGACCAGGGAAGTCAGGACGGGAATATATAAGTAAGAACTGATGCAGATGCCTTGAACGCATGCTGCTTACTGGCTTGCTCCTCATGACTTGCTCAGCCTGCTTTCTTATAGAACCGGGACCACCAGCCCAGGGGTAGCACTACCCATATTGATCTGGGCCTTCCTTCATCATTAATTAAGAAAATGTAACCACAGGCTTGCTCATAGGTCAATCTGGTGGGGGCATTGAGGTTCCTTCTTCCAAAATGATGCTGGCTTGTGTCAGGTCAACATAGAACCAGCCAGCACAAAATACTTCCAGGAAAGTCTATGTGGGAGGAAACCGGTAAGTGGGGACCAGAAGCCATTCCTAATGCCCTTAATATAATAATATACCAACAAAACTCAAATTCAGGCCAGCTCCACCACCTTGCAAGAAGAGAAGTGTACACACACACACACACACACACACACACACACACACACACACCATGGATTGGTTACAGTAGCCTGAAAGCTGTTTGCTGCACAAGAAGCCCAGTGGTCTGCAGACGGTCATGTTCGTCTCCTGTTAGTCCAAGGCCAGAGGTGTCCCAACCCTCCCTGGGCTGTTGTTTGTCGTGAATTCAGCTGCTGCCACTTTCCAGACAGCCGAACGGTCAGACAAGTGTCCAAGGCAGATGTCTAATCCCAAAGTTGCATGACACACAACTTTCGCTCACATCTCGTCTCTTTGGACCACATCCGGAGAGTAGGCAGAGGAGGAAGCAAGAGCCACAGGCTCCCTGTCAGCTGCTCTTACTGACTGCCTCTGCCGCCAGACTGCCTGAGTCTGACACGGGGAAGACCCATGACAACTTGCTAGGTGAATGAAGAGGTCCCAGAGTGTTGAAGGCTCCTGAAGGTGGCATTCCTGGGAAATGGAACCTCTCAGAACTTGGCCTTATGGGATGTCTTTAGGATCGGGGGCGGGGGTGCATGTCCTCCAAGGGAACTGTGGGACCCAGTCCTTCCCGTTTTGCTCACTGGCACATGGTAAACAGTATGTGCCCTCCCTTGCCATCCAGCGCTCTACCACCTACCTAGCCATGGATCGGAAGGTCTACAATTCTTTGCCAAACCTCCTCTCTATTGCAAACTGACTAGTTTAGTGCCTTTGTTACAGTCACAGAAAATAAGCCGCGGGTTTTGTCAGGAACCTTGCCAATTATTTTATCCCAAAGAAGTTAATGCATGAAGCACAGTGCTACACCTTATAAGCTTAGTACTTGTAAGGTAGTGGCCAGCCTCAACTATGCATTAAGTTTGAGGCTAGCCAGGGCTGCATGAGACTCTATCCCCACCCCCCAAAAAATCAGAAAGGGGGGAAAGAATTTAATGTAGGGCATACATAGTAAAAGAAGCACGACAAGCCATTAGAAGGGGCAGAACCGAAGAACAGGGAGGTGGCCTCTTCCAAGAAGCAGCTGCCACTCCTGAAGATGGGCATTGGCAGAGGAAGCAGAGTCCTTGAGGCAGTGTTTAGAGCTACCAGGTGGGACAGTCTAAATGTCCATCAAGTGGTGAGAGCTTGAGCCTATCTGGATGTCCACTTGACGGGACTGGGGAATCCCTAGGAAGCAGTAGAGCATCATTTGGAATACACCTGGGGAGTTAACTAAGTCCGTGTGGACCAGGTGGGAAAGACCTGCCTCCGGTGCCTGAGGCTTCCAGTGAGGCTGAAATAGTCTCTTCCGTCAGGGTCAGGGTCAGGTCACACTCTTCCACCCCTACCACCCCTGCCATCATTCCTGGACTCAAGCTGGCACTGCAAACAGGAGGATGCTCTCCAGTGTCCCCACCTTCAGGGTTCCAGTGCCAGGCTGTGGTGATGCCATCAGCATCCCTGGTTCTAAGCCTGGTCTCTGCAACAGGAAAGGACGTTTCTGTGCCACTGACAGGGTGTTTCCTTGTAGGGAACATGGAGGTCTTTATGCTCACAAATATGCACAAGGGAGGATCAGGAATGTTGAGCACACAGAGTTGTTCCTTCAAGGGGAGGAATGTAAAACCTATTTTCTGCCCAGAGGTTGGAGCCAATGTGCATTCTAGCCTGGTGACCTTTATGCAGTCTGTGTGGCCAGCGCCGGCACCAGGCTGTCCTCCAGACCTTTCCTCGTAAACTTGTTTTTCCCAGGCAATCTCGGAACCCATCTTTATGGACGGTGTCACACGGACTTTACAGAGAGTTTCAGTGCAATCACGTCTGTTCTGTGTTTGGTTTACTTTGTACCTCAAAGAGATGTTGGTATGCTCTGTTGTGTACTCGGGATTGAGTTAATCATCGCAAGGACAGTTATCAGCAGATTATGCTGTGTTTAATTACGCCTAAAATAAACAACTCAGAGCCAGGCTCCCCAAGTTTCAACTCGCCGGCTACTGAGTTGTGTTGTTCAGAACGTCTTGCCTCCCGTTTATGTCACAGAGACCCTTGAATTTCCTCCTCCCCTACAAGGTGTCTCACACTGATCCGGCAAATTTCCTGTGCCTTTAAGTCAGAATCGGCATGCTATATTGCGCCCACAGCTGGTGTCTTAACTCCTGCCCCATCATCAGGCTGCCATTCTGGGTTCTGCCACAAAGACGATAGCCTACTAAACACCCCCTCTGCCTTAGAAAACTCCCTCTGAAGACCGGCGGTGGTGGCGCATGCCTTTAATCCCGGCACTCGGGAGGCAGAGGCAGGCGGATCTCTGTGAGTTCAAAGCCTGCCTGGTCTACAGAGCTAGTTCCAGGCTGCAAAGCTACAGCGAAACCCTGTCTCGAAAAACCAAAAAACAAAGAAAGAAGGAAAGGAAAGGAAAGGAAAGAAGGAAAGAAGGAGAGAGAGAGAGAGAGAGAGAGAGAGAGAGAGAGAGAGAGAGAAAGAAAGAGAAAGAAAGAAAGTTAGTTTTGGGTGACAGCTGCATGTTTGTACCTTGCTCCCATGTTGCTGAGCTAAGCTAGGATTAGGGACAAAGGAAGGGGGCATATCATCTTAATCCAAGAGGGCGGTAGAGTTCCCAGGTTCCATTACTCTCCACCCAAGGGCAAAACCAGGTGGGTGGAACTCCTGGCTCTGGAGTCTTGTA